CCCCCCCCCTTTTTGTGTCCCAAGACCTCATTTTCATTTTGGTGCTCAGCAGGGGGTACTTTGTACAGTAAAGACCTTTCCTGCACTGGCTTCCAAAATCCCAGATAAAATAGGTAACGTAGCTTTGAGGGAGGTACAGTATCTGTAAATGCATGAAGATGGTTTTAAGTGAACCTCAGAATGTATTGTAGGTCCCTTTTGTCAGTCAGATGCTTTTGAGCTTCTGGGTGATCTCCCTTTTTCTGTGCCACCAAGTCCCCAAGCTTTATTTAGATGCCATTTTGGAACTTGTACTGGTTTTAGTTATGGGTTTTATTAAAGGCTTTGTTCTCCTCTTCATTCTCTTCAGTGCTAGTGAAAATTCTGTTTGTGCTTCTTCATCTTGCTCTCCTGGAGTGCAGCCCAATGTACCTGACACTGCTTTTAACAGAAAGGCTGGTTTACTTGATTTTATCTAAGCTTATGCCTTCACATATGTTAAAAGCTAAACCAGGCAAGTTTACTTTGTAGTAAATACTGATATTCTGTATGGCTTTTTTTGCAAAAGGGTGTCTGATTTCCTTCTATTCTGGAAATATCAATTATAGTTCCCTGCTGAATGGGGACAAGAGAAGAAATGCCTTTTATCTTTTTACATTTGATGGACTTAGCTTGCACACATGTCTTAATCCTGGGGTGCATATGGTAAAGGCTCACTCGTACAGTAAAGAGTTGTGTAAAGAGGAAACAAGACATGCAGTCCTTACTGTTGTGGACACTGAGCTCCACAGCATCATCATTGTGAAGCTTTCTGCACAGGTTTAAGTCCTCAAGCTGCATCCTGTTTAGAGAAAATATTTTCAATATGCTTCCAATAGGAAGATCACTTGCAAATAAGAGCCTTAACTTGGTCTTTAAAGGTTTTTTTCTGTCCTTCAAGTTTCTTTCACACTGAGTTGTACACAGTTCATAGAAATTGCAAATATTTTTCCACAGCTTGCTCTCTTGTGTTAAACTTGTATATCTTACCAGAACCCTTTGTTTCTGTAACATGCTTTTTGTGGTGTTTATTATACCACCTCACAAATGTAGTTATTGTTTGAAACCGGTGTTAAGTGTCACAACATAAATAAAACCATTGTTGTCATTACTGCCTTATGGCACTAATACTAGATGTATTGGTTTGACTTCTTGGGAGTTTTTTAGAAGAAACTAGCAGCTACTGTGAAGTTTGCAGGTGTGTTCATAGGTGAATACTTAACCTAATATTGCAGTTT